ACAAAAACCCCAAACCAAGCACTTTCCCATGGTCAGCAAGATAAAATTTCAGTCCCTTAATAAAACAACCTGCCTCTAAGAGCAGTTCAGCATTTTGAGGAGGAAATTGGCAGTTTTCTTCTATTCCATTGCACCACACAAAGACAAGAAACAGGGGTGATTTTTATCAGTTTTCCTTTCTGTTGTGAATAAATACCTCTGTGTATTCCACTGAGCAATGCATCCAAGCCTATAGATGATGAAAACATCAAATTCAGCTGCAAATCCTGTTCTCCTAGTTCTGTTACTTTTCCTGTGATTTTAGACACACTGGCCTAGTTGGCCAGCTCCTGTTTTTTTTAGAGTAGCAGATGTAAAATTAAAGCACTTCACCTGAAGATTTGGTGGGAAGTGGACTTTAGATATCTTACCTGGAAGACATTACTCCAGAAACCAAGAGGGACTAATTCTGCAGGGACATAAATCTCACCAAGTTATAGAAATTCTAAGCCAGACACAGCAAACAGCAGGCACCTGCTTCAGACAATGGTTCCAATGGAGCTCTTTGGATATGTACTCCCAATTCCAACTTCTTTGCAGCAGCCAAAATGGAAAGTACATGTTTTTCTGATATTAATTTTCTCCACAAGCAGTTTTTGACTCTCAGATGTCTGAGTGTCAAGCCACAGACATCCCAATCTACAGAACTGGGGATGAAATGTGAAGTGACAACATTTGACCAGTGATGTGCAGAACTCTGAAAACTTTTAGCAATTCCAAATCAATCCTCTACCATGTTCACTGAAAAAAAGTAAATTTCTTCGGTTAATATTTTCTTTTCTTTATGCCTATTAGAAACCTGCTGTTTTCACAGCAGAGCCTTACACATGTAAACAAAGTTTACTCACTTGTATCTTGAACAGCACAGATTTCACTCATTTTTGACCACCAGAAACTCACATGTGATCTTCTGCACACTGGAGAGACTTACTGTTTCCTTTGCACCTCTAACCTTACACAAATATTCACACCCATGGGTAATAAAGGTAAAACCATTCCAGAACAGACAGTTCACTCATTTTTGACCACCAGAAACTCACATGTGATCTTCTGCACACTGGAGAGATTTACTGTTTCCTGTGCACCTTACACAGATATTTACACCCATGGGTAATGAAGGTAAAACCATTCTAGAAAAGACAGATTTGGTAATGGTAGGAACAGAAAATGACAATTGTACAAGTAGCACATAAAGACTGCCAACACAACGAAAGCAAACAGCTAAGGCAATTTAAAGTGGCATTACTATAACATCTACCACAAACTTCTATGTACAAGGTCAAATCTAGGCAAGTAATCCATTAACATCTATGTACATTCACTTTGCAGAATTTCTTTCGAAAGCAAACAGCTAAGGCAATTTAAAGTGGCATTACTACAACATCTACCACAAACTTCTATGTATAAGGCCAAATCTAGGCAAATAATTAATTAGAAACTTATGTACATTCACTTTGCAGCATTTCTTCTAACAAGTGATACCTTCCCTCAATCTTCATGCTAATCAAAACTTTTCAACAAGCTGATCAACAAAAGTATTTATTACAACTTGAAATGGTGTTGCTTAGACAGGTGAGCAACTTTTTCTGTAACGTTTTGTGTGGGTGTTGATATAGAAGAAATTTGATATTTGTCCCACATGTGTGAAGAAATTAAAAAATCTTTGTGTATGCCCTTGTAAAATGAAAATGCAGCAGTAATAATAAAATATGGACAGAACAGTGGATATTCAGGAGTTCCTCCCATTATAAATTTTCTCAGTTCTCCTTAGTTCTAGGAAGGGCTGCAGAAAAATAGTCTTTTAGAAAAGAAACGTTCACATTGTTTAATCTTCAATTAAACTTAATTTCTCTAATGCTCTAAGTTATATGCATAGCAAATACACAGAACAAATCATCTAAGTCTCCTTAACATTTTTTTTTTTGTCTTACTAAAAGAAATAAAAGTCCCAGGCAGTACATTCTTTAACATGTGCAACACCCTAATTTGGTCATCATATCTGCTGCTTAGGCAAGGGATGTGTTTATGTAGCTAAGTTCAAATAATGAGAACAGAGACCTGGATTCTGTTCTTCCCTTTGCAGAGGGTATAAAATAAGAATCTGGACAATTCACATCTCAAGTACAACACTTAGTACCACAGCATTTGATTTTTAACAAGCTGCCATACGCTCAGCATTGATGCTAAGCTTCCTGTAAAGTCTCTCTGTCCTGTTGCAGTGGTTTCAATGTATATGAAATAGCAAAATACCAAGTTGTGCCTTTTGCACTAATATTGGCTCAAGCCTAGTGATCTCAGCATCCTACTATTTCAAAAGCAAATGTTAAAACAGCCAAAAAAATTCAGACTAAAGTTCTTTTAGACACTTTAGTAATTTTTTTCTTGTGAGCACGCTCAGCATTGATGCTAAGCTTCCTGTAAAGTCTCTCTGTCCTGTTGCAGTGGTTTCAATGTATATGAAATAGCAAAATACCAAGTTGTGCCTTTTGCACTAATATTGGCTCAAGCCTAGTGATCTCAGCATCCTGCTATTTCAAAAGCAAATAATAAAACAGCCCAAAAATTCAGACTAAAGTTCTTTTAGACACTTTAGTAACATTTTTCTTATGAGTAAGCAATAGCAGAACAGGACAAGGGGGAATGGCTTCAAACTGAAAGATAGTAGGGTTAGATTAGATATCAGGAAAAAATTCTTTACCCTGAGGGTGGTGAGACACTGGCACAGGTTGCCAGAGAAGTTCCAGGGATGTCCCATCCCTGGCAGTGTCCAAGGCCAGGCTGGAAGGGCTCTGAGCAGCCTGGGATAGTAGAAGTGTCCCTGCCCAAGGTAGGGTTTGGAAATGGAAGATTTTTAAGGTCCTTTCCATCCCAGACTGTTCTGTGATTCTGTGAATAAACCTCCACAAAGCAAACCAGATGACATATCTGATATCCTCTGACCACATCTCCAGCCCTGAGCAACTTTTAAGCAGGGACTTTGGAGCCAAGTTGCATCTGCCTGTTAATTTTTAAATATCTTTTCCTACAGTAAGCTTTTCCATCGGCTGCAACAAACACACATTCAAATACCTCCCCTTGCTGTTTTCCTGAGCTCATGGAAATCTCTTGTACCTGGAATACCCCCTGGCAAGCACACTGCAGCAGTGCTTCATTGAATGATTTATATAATTCACAACAGCTGCATCAGAAGAGAGTAAAAATATTGGAATAAACATATTAAAGTTATATAAACCAAATAAAATAAACACAAACAGAACAAGTATAAAAGCACAAGCAACCTGGATGGTAAATCTCTTATTGCAGTGGATTAAGTAAACCTTTGCACAGCTGTATTTTGTGTTTGCTCAGAACCAAACAGAGCACTTGAGGAACCTCAAAAAAGGAGGTACAGCAGACACAAAGTGTCTTTTCAGGGGTAAGCCCTTTCTACCTCACCCTCCACATCTGTAGTATTTTGGTATTTCACATTTTGTCTTTTCACAGGTGTACTGCAAGTCTTAGCTGAACACCATGCACCACATAACCCCAAATTTAACAACATTCTCAGGTGCAGAAAGGTAAGCCCACAGAAGTGCTTTACAAGATTAGAGATTTGGTGAGAGTTAGATCAGAGTTTTGAAACCTGGGGCAAAGAACAGACGATTGCAAACAACTTTTTTTTTTTTTTTTTAATAGCATGTTACCCCCAGAATCACTTAAAAAAAAAAACAAACCCACACACAAAAAAAACCCAAAAAGCACTTTAGTTTTTTCACTTTCATGTTCCTGGTAGAAAATGATGACAAGACAATGAAACAAACTTAGAGCAAAACCAAACACACATATACACACACAGAGACACAGAGGTTGGGATTGGGATTTTTTTGTTGTTTTTTATTTGTTTTCTGGGGTTTTGGGGTTTTTTTTGTTTGTTTTGTATTTATTTTCTTTTTATTATTTGTTTTTTGGTTTTTTTGTTTGTTTGGGATTTGTTGTTGCTTTTTATTTGTTTGGGGTTTTTTTGTTTTTTTGGGGGGGTTGGGTTTTGTTGTTTATTATTTGTTTTTTTAGGTTCTTTGTGGATTTATTTTATTTGGGTTTTTTGTTGGTTTTTGTTGGTTTTTTATTTGGTTGGTTTTTTGGGGTTTTTTTAAAGGTTTTTTTTGTTTGCTTTTTGTTGTTGTTGCTTTTTATTTGTTTGGGGATTTTTAGGTTTTTTTGGGGGGGGTGGGTTTTTTTTTGTTGGTGTTTGAGGTTTTTTGGTTTTTGGGGTTTTTTGGGGGGTTTTATGAAAGTTCCCGCAGTGGGGCGCGGCCGGGGGGCAGAGGAGGAGAAGGAGGAGGAGGAGGAGGAGGAGGAAGGCGCCTCTCTGATGACAAGACAATGAAACAAACTTAGAGCAAAACCAAACACACATATACACACAGAGAGACACAGAGGTTGGGATTGGGATTTTTTTGTTGTTTTTTATTTGTTTTCTGGGGTTTTGGGTTTTTTTTTGTTTGTTTTGTATTTATTTTCTTTTTATTATTTGTTTTTTGGGTTTTTTTGTTTGTTTGGGATTTGTTGTTGCTTTTTATTTGTTTGGGGTTTTTTTGTTTTTTTGGGGGGGTTGGGTTTTGTTGTTTATTATTTGTTTTTTTAGGTTCTTTGTGGATTTATTTTATTTGGGTTTTTTGTTGGTTTTTGTTGGTTTTTTATTTGGTTGGTTTTTTGGGGTTTTTTTAAAGGTTTTTTTTGTTTGCTTTTTGTTGTTGTTGCTTTTTATTTGTTTGGGGATTTTTAGGTTTTTTTGGGGGGGGTGGGTTTTTTTTTGTTGGTGTTTGAGGTTTTTTGGTTTTTGGGGTTTTTTGGGGGGTTTTATGAAAGTTCCCGCAGTGGGGCGCGGCCGGGGGGCAGAGGAGGAGAAGGAGGAAGAGGAGGAAGAGGAGGAGGAAGAGGAGGAGGAAGGCGCCTCTCAGAAGGCGAAGACCCCACCGGGAGCAGCACCTCCCTCGGCACCACGGGGCGGGGAGCCGGGAGGAGGCGGGAGGAGGCTGCGGGATGGGGATGAAGGATGCAGGATGCGGGGCGGCGTCGCCCGGGGCGCTTTAAAGGGCGGCGGGCGGCGGGGGCGGCGCGGCGGCGGCGGCATGAGCGAGGTGAAGCTGGCCGTGCTGGGCGGCAGCGGGGCCGGCAAGTCGGGTAAGCAGGGTATGGCTCGGGTTTGGTGGCGGGGGAGGCGAGGTGCCGCTAATTCTGGGCTCTGCTTCCCTCCCGCAGCGCTGGCGGTGCGGTTCCTGACCCGGCGCTTCATCGGCGAGTACGCGTCCAGCGCCGGTGAGCTCCGCTGGCAGGGATGGAGGGATGGATAGAGGGAGGGATAGAGGTTTTTCCCCTGGGTTTTAGGTTCTTTGTGGATTTATTTTATTTGGGTTTTTTGTTGGTTTTTGTTGGTTTTTTATTTGGTTGGTTTTTTGGGGTTTTTTTAAAGGTTTTTTTTGTTTGCTTTTTGTTGTTGTTGCTTTTTATTTGTTTGGGGATTTTTAGGTTTTTTTGGGGGGGGTGGGTTTTTTTTTGTTGGTGTTTGAGGTTTTTTGGTTTTTGGGGTTTTTTGGGGGGTTTTATGAAAGTTTTCGCAGTGGGGCGCGGCCGGGGGGCCCGGGGGGGAGAAAAGTTTGATTTTTTTTTTTTTTTTTTTTTTTTTTTTTTTTTTTTTTTTTTTTTTTTTTTTTTTTAATCTGTCTTATTGAGACCTGTAAAGCTCATGCTCTTTCCCAAATCTACATTTTGGTTTGCACATCCCGTTTCTTTTCTGAAGCGCTGTTTCCAAAAAAGCAGATATAAGTGCTTAAATGGTAGGAAGTGGAGTAGCATTTCTTGGGTACAGTTGGTCTCAGCAACGTTCCATTACTTCTATTGTGAACTGTAAAGTTTTTTTTTTTTGTGATATTTTGAGTGATTTTTTTTTTTCCCCCCCTTGCGGTTTCCCAAGCAGTGATTTGGTGGAGAATTTGGGTGTTGCAGAACTTTGCCGGGGATGGGAGTTTCTGCTCGGTTATGGGCTCCTGGTGGGGTGTGAGCCCTGGGGAAAGGGGAAAAGATGAGCCGAGTGTCGTGGAGAGATCGCTCCTCTCAAAGCGGCTGGGGACGGGAAAAGACCGGGATGAGAGTGGGAACAAGGGTGGGGTATGGTCAGCTCGATCAGAGAGAGCAAAGCAATAGACTAAAAAACCCCCAAACAAGACCTTTCTACCGAATATCCCCTCCTCGGCTCCAGGGCAGAGGGGAGACAGATTGTTTATCGGCACGGGAGGTTAATCCAAGCATAACCCGAGGCCTCAGAGAGGCAGGAAGGCGCTGCTTTGGTGGCTGTGAGGAAAACCTGGCTGGACACGGGATTAAATGTCACTTTGGTGCCATTCGTGTCACTTTCGTTGAAACACTTCTAAGTCTTGGAAGGTGGCAAAGCAAGACTTGGACTTTTACATCCCGGGTGGAAATACCGTTCAGCTGATGCACAAATGAAGTGTGCTGCCACCCCAGCTGATGCACAAATAACTTTGGAATTGTGCTGCCACCCCAGCTGATGTGGCAGGAGTCCCAAAACTTAACGAGGCACAGAGATTGCCCTCTAGCTCACTCTCCCTGCTAAAGTAAAGGATTCTCTCTCCAGGCTTTTTTTTTTCTCCCCCCAACACAGGAATCAGAGCTGCTTCTAGTGATCTGTAAATAGCAAAGAAAAAAGAAGCACTAACCTGAATTGTAGTGAATATATCCAAATGAACTTATTCCGAAGGAAGGGCTACAATTGTACATGTGTGCTCTACCATTATTTATTTTTATACAAACACAGACTGAGCAGACAGTTTGTGTCCCAGCTGGCTGCTCTAGCTCTAAGCTGCCACATGTAAATTATGTGCTCTCTGTGCTCTGTGTGTGTTCCAAGCCACCTACAACTAAAACCAGGTTCTGTTCTCAGCCTCCAGTACTGCAAACCCGGTAAAAGGCATGTCAAACCCCCAGAACATTTTCATTGTTAATAAATATTTGTTGGAAGATAAGTTTAGCACTGTTTCTAGAGATGAGGAAAGCGGTAACAGGGGTGGTAAAATAAAGATCATGCCACTATTAGTGGAGTCAAAATAATAATTAAAAGTTTGTTTAATTAAGGAAACAAGCAAGGGGCTGTAGATTTTATACCCTGAGAGTCTTGGGACTGATAGTTTATCATCAGATGAATTCTTAAGATGAGCAGGAAGAATGCTGAAGATGCTGAGTTCCAGAGATCACAGAGCTATCCCTCATTACACAGTTTTAAGTATGTTTTCTGTACTGTCAACACCAATTCCTGTCCCTGTAGTTCAGAAAATGACAAATTATAGCTTGGAAAGCCTGTTGGCAACCACAAACTGCTTACACTTGCTCAGAACATCCTGCTGCTTTAAATAGTAGTGATGGTGTGTCTGCAGCAGAGTTCCCAGTGTTGGTGGAGAGTCCTAAATCTGAGACACTGCAGAAATATTTTTGGACTCGATCCTAAGGACATGGTCCTGTAAATACTCTTGGTCTAATGCTGCCTGGTATGAGAACTCTTAAAGCACCAGAGACCTTGTTAAATAAATATTATTACTAAATGACAACTTTTGTGCAGAATCAGAGCTGCACATTTTATAATCCTGAGCCCTGGTATCAAGCTGAATGATGACCAGCATTTAGCTGATTGTGAGGATTGTGAATTCTCCTCTAGTTTGGAAGAGGAAAAGCAGAATCTGAAAGTATTCACTCACCAAGACTTTGATGGGAGCACCACAGTGAAATGGTGTTGGTCTGCCTAAGGGGTTGATTGGTGCAAAATTCAGTAGGTTTGTTTCCAGTGTGTGCTCAGGAAAAAAGGCAGACAACCAGTCAACAAAACCAAAGCCACAAAACAAAGAAAAAAGCCTTCCCTAACAACCTTTATCACAAAAAAAAAAAAAAAAAAAAAAAAAAAAAAAAAAAAATCATCAGAGACAAAAAAATTCTACACGCCTTGAGAAAGCAATCAAATAACCAATAATCAAGGAGTCCTCAGTATTATCAAATTTCACTGTTGCATTTTCTTTTCTTTTCACTGTCATCCCCATCAGTAACACTGATTTTCTTTGGATAATATCTATCTGTTAGAATGCATCTACACTAAACACTTGTGCCTGGATGGGAGGCAGATACACCTGGAAATTTATGACCCCTGTTCACAGGTAAGAATTTAGCAGGAGGAGGGTAAAGAAAAGCTGCTCTTCATTACCTGTGTATATGGTAAAAAGGGTCAAGGGGTTACAAACTTTTTCTTGTTGGAATTTGTGCCTGCTCTTTTGGGGTTTCTTTTAAAGACTGAAATTTTATAGTTGCTGGGGCTTGGAACTACTGAGTACTTTCCCATTCCATCAAAGAAACTCTGAATTGCTGACATTTTCTGGAAATACATTTATATTTTGGAATATTACTAACAGAAATAACCACTTTTCATAGGTAAATACAGAGATAAGATATTGGATTACATGGAGTTTTCTCAAATGAAAAGTCCTAAATTCCCTAAAGGAATTAAATTTAGTTTATAAAGCAAACAGTTTAATAAATGGCTGCACAAATGGTCAAAGTAGACAGGCCTGGAAGTAAGGCTTGCATTCACAGAACAATTTCCTTTTCCAAGGAAAGCCATAATGCAGCTTTGGATTGCTCCCACCCTGAAGCCCCTTTCCTGAGCTGGCCTGCAGCTTTCACCTGCTGCAATATTAAATCCTGTGGCATGGGGCTGCTCTTTATTAAGGTGTTGAAACAGTGGGAGTGGCAGCTGGAGAGGGTTAAACATGATAGGCCTAAATGATGAGGAGAGATTTTAGTTGCCCATATTTGTGCTAGGGCTCTCTGAGCTGTCTGTACTCATTTTTTTTTCCTTAGGAACAAGGCCTAACTTTGGCTGTTCAGTGAAGTAAAATTGTAATTTTTTGTTTTCTGATCAGCTTCCAGTTTTTTAATCTATTTTAGGTCCTATGGTCTTGCTAGCTGCTGCCAAGTCATGTGCAGGGATAAGCTAATTTTAAATAGTTTTGAAATGACACTCCTTTGATTAATGGCACATTTTAAAGCTGTTGCTTTCTGGAAATCAGAAGTGTGGTAGTTTCTTGGTGTGAAGAGGGTCAAGGATTAGTGTAACCCTATTATCACTCAAGTGACTTTTGTCACTAGATTTATTAAACTCAACTGCAGATTGAAAGAAAAATTTTTTCCCTAGCTCTTCAGAAATTTAACATATGGGTAATTAGTGTTTGAAACTTGAACAATTCAAAGAGGAAAGAAAATAAATGAAGGAAATCATTAAGCTTACTGTAGTCAGAATATTAGGAACAAGCAAACCAGAGCTATAACCACAAAACACACAAATGTTGATGGCTCCTGTGTGCTTCACTCTCATGTAACCCTGCAGAATATTAAGCATAAGCAATAGCTGTACAGGTTGTGGATTTTCACTGCTTAAACAAAGTGTAAATGTTTAATAATGAACTTGTCAGCAACCCAAAGTGCCATTTTTGATGTTGGTTTATTTATTTGTATAAATAAATTTATACAATTATAAAGGCTTTATTTATAAGGCTCTTGGAGCAGCACTAGCCTGAATTCAATGCCAACACTTTGACCTATTAAATATATTTTGCAATGAAAGTTACAGTGTTCTGGCATTCACAGAGACAGAGAAAAGGCTCTGGAGTTGCAAAAGTAACACTCTTTTTTCTGTGTGCATTTGCACTCTTTCAGCCCCAGCAGGGGAAGCTCTCCCTGGCACATGAGCTCCACTGGGCTGATGGCTTTGTCATTGTTTACGACATCAGCGACAGAGCATCCTTTGCCTTTGCAAAAGCACTGCTCTACAGGATCCGAGAGTCTCACATAGGAGTTTGTAAAAAGTAAGTGGCATTATTTGTTGGTTTGTTTTTTTTTTCCCTCAGCAAACATAGAGAAAGCTGAAAACCCCTTTGTGAGCTTGCAGGCTATCCTAGCAGCAATTAAAATCCAGCAGCATCAAAGTGATGTAATACAATGCCAACAAGGTACCTGAGGGTAAAATGTGTGGCAAATTACAGTCTATTTTACTGTATCCAAACCCAAGTACATCAGGATTTTTGTTCTTATTTCTTACAAAACTAGTATTTAAATTATTGCCATAAACATTTCTGCTGTGTTACACAGGTGAAAAAGCCTGGCATAGTCAGTCTGTGCTTTTACTCTCCCTCTCAATTACCAATGGAGATACGCAAATACAGGGGCTGAAGAAAAGCATTTCCCACAACAAAGGAAAGTAATTGCACAAATATCTCCTAAACTGCCTTTGGTGGTGATCCCAGCATCATTTCTATACACAGGTGACCATATGGAAAAAAAGAAAGTACTTTAAAAAAAGAATCACCAGAACTGCAGGTGTGAGTGTGGATTGGGGTGTGTATCCTGCATCAGTCAGCTGAGGTGCTTTCTAAATAAAAGAGTGAAATCCTTTACCTGTATCAGAAGAGCAGTAAAACCCCCATTTTTCTGTTTTACTTCTGACCTTTCTTAATTAAGGTTAATTTCTGAAAGGAATACCTTTAGTAGAAGCTTGGAATTAGATTTTCTGTGTTTCCGTCTGAGTTGTGCCACTGACACTGATCTGTCTCTTGGACCTGCAAATGGAAATAATGATCAGGTTGCTTCTTCATGAAGTCCAGGTGCTGACAATATACTCAGCAGCATAGATCATGAAAAAAGCAGTGGATTGAAAAAAATACATTAATTCTTTGAGTAGAGAAAATGAAAATCTGTTGGTACAGAATAGCTTGTCTGGAAGATCCTTTCACAAAGGGAAAACTAGAATTCTTCCTAGCAAGGTGAGGGGGCTGGTTAGTTCATTTTGGGTTTTTTTTGCAATGCCTGTTATCCTGTTATATGTTAGGAATTTAGCACAGCATATGACATAGCATTGTACATATCTTTTCTCTAACTGGAACCTTTTTCATTTCAGGATGGTCGAGTCATCAATATTTTTGGTTGGCAATAAACAGGATTTATGCCACATGAGGGAGGTTGGCTGGGATGAAGGGCAGAAGTTGGCAATAGATAACAAGTGCCAATTCTGTGAACTGTCTGCAGCAGAGCACTATCAGGAAGTTGTGGCAATGTTCACCAAGGTGCTGAGGAATATCACTGCCAATTTCAAGGTGAAGGAGAAGAGACGACCAAGCGGTTCCAAGTCAATGGCCAAGTTAATCAACAATGTGTTTGGGAAGAGGAGGAAATCTGTGTAAGAGAGGGTTAGTCTTGAAGTTGGAACAAGCTAAAATAATGGAGCTGAGCTCTTGGGATTCACTGAATTTCCTCCAAAGGTCAATATGTGGAGGAGTAAGACAGTAGGAACCAAAGGTGGGAGACAGTATGGTCTAGACCTAGAAGACCTGACCTTCTGTTTCAAGCTCTGCTGCAGATTTATTGTATAGGGCAGTGCCATTTAAACTGCAAGCTGCTCCAGAGAGAGGTTTAGTCTGTATTTATTCAACACCAGCATGGTCTTGGACAGAGCTTCTAGGTGCAACTGAAGTACAGACAGTAATTTCAAAGATTAACTTAATTGGAAAAGACCCTTAGGTCATCAAATCCAGCCATTAACTAAACACTACCAAGTCTACCACTAAACCACATAATATCCAGTAAACTCAGCCTTGCTGATCAAAATCTTACTTCAGAATTCTGAGTAGTTTTCTTTTTATGTGCAAGAACATTTGCACTAAAGAAAAGCAAAATACTGCAGCTTCGTGTGGTAATGTATTTGTATTTAACTCAGGTCCTTGTGTGCCTTACACTTGCTGAAATTCATATGAATTAAATGCTTAGACACTAAGTCTACAAAAGGTATTTACCTGCAGAGCTGCCTTGCAGAGGCACCAGAAGTAGGGAAGCAGATACATAAAGCAGTATTGTCTCCTGTTTCAGTATCTTTTTTCTTTATTCCATGAGTGATGAGAGAAAGTGGAGAGGGTTGAGGAGTGTGGGAGCTGAAATGTTAGTGAAATGTCAGTCAGTGAGCACTGGACTGTTTTGGCAAGGTCGTTGCTGAGTGAAATAATTTTACAGCAAGGCTTGGGTTGATCCCTTCCACAGAGCAGTTTTTGTCAGCTTTAACAAAAGTTTCATTAGCTGCAAGGTGGGTGTGACTGCTCAGTCTCAGATGGCAGCAGAAGCTTGGAAGGCACATGGACTGGTAAAGAGCACAAGTTCTCTAGGATGCCTGCCTGGATTTAAAGGTCAGCCTGCTGGTAAGACCTGTGCTCACAGAGAGTGTTTTTCCTAATAACCAATGTCCTTACAACTACTCATGGCTGTGGTATTGAAATACCACAGGGAGAGAGCACTGAGTACTGTTAGCTACACTTCTCAGATGTGGATATTAAACATCAGATGGGTTTAAATATGTTGTCAGTTGACATTCAGAGCTCTTACTCCAGACAGCTAAATAAGGGCTTAGCCCAGCGTGTTTGCAAGTGCTGTGCTCATACAGAAATTATGAAAGGGAAGTGATCTGAAGAGGAATTGCTGCCTCCTACTCACTCCAGGGGACAGCTAGGATTCAGTTTTTGTAGGATGCTGAGTTGAAGCCTACCTCTGCTCTGAAATTTTACCTGCATTGAAACAAAAAAATTTAATTTTTCTTTTTTTTACTTTCAGTTTTTGAGCTTTCACCCATAAGAAAACATAAAAAGGTTACATATAATTTAGCAGTAAGGTTGAAAAATAGTACTAAAGCACATTTTATTGTGTTGGCCAAAGATCACCTTTTCTTCAGCAAAATATATTGTTTATTTCACTTGTTATAAGACTAAAAATATTAGAACATAGTTCTCAGTTGGCAGGCACTTTGTTTTTCTGCAGATGCTGCTCTGCCATATCAGGAGCATTGCATTTTAAGTGTATGGTCAATATCTATGAAAGTGAACATGCAAATTATTCATGTACACCCTTTGGTTTCCCAGCCCACACGGGATTCTAGAACTACCAACAGACAGTTGTAGCTTTACCTTGCATTGCCAGATTCCAGAACTCTTATTTGTATTTACTGCTCTGGTATTAAATAAACTGGATATAAGATGGACGCGTTAATGACTTTTGGTTTGTTTTGTTTTCCCTTTACTCTGTTATAAGGCTTTTGTTTTGACTGCTATAAAAGGGAAGCACTGTGCAGATCTGAAATTCCATCTGGAGAAGGTAAATCTGGGAATCAGCCACTTGCACCAAAGAGAACCTCTGGCTGTGTTTGCTGAGCACAATGAAGAAGCCCTCATGTGCCTTTAAGCAGTGAAGAGAGCCTTTAAAAAAATTGCTTTATCCTTTAAAAATTAGTTAAAACAGCCACAGAGAGGCCAATTAGTAGTGTTCATATTCCTGGGAATAGGGGATTTCAGATAGATGGAACCTGTAGTACAGCCCATAGTCTTTTTGTCTGTATGAAGTAAGTGCTGGAACACAGAATAGCTGTCACCTACAGGGCCGTGTGCTCACCTGAAAACCACCTGAAACAGCTGCATCTTCTAGAAACAGGATGATTAAGAATTAAACATACTAAAACATCCAGCACAGACATAATTTGGTGTTCTCACTATTGGGATTTCACTTGTCTTTCATTGCTGATTAGTGCAGATATACAAGAATGCAGAATTTTAAAGCAGATACACATTCTCCCTTTCTAAATGTATTGTATAATAACTTTTAAAAATGAAGCCCTTTAAAAATACTTAAAAGGCTGATATATATATGTTTTGATAAGTGTTCTTGGAGTTCTAACAGGAAAGGAAATATATTAACTGGTACAGCCACATTGCAAACAAGAAATTAGCAAGAACCCTGCTTATGTAACACAGTAAATTTATGTAAATTATGTCAGATGCTCAGCCTTGACAGTGACATCACCTGGAGCATACCAGACTCAATAAAGAGTGTGGAAATGGAGCTATTTGTGTTGTCACATGTTGCTTCAGCACACAAGCCCATCCTTTCTCACCAAAAGATTTTGAAATTGCTGCACGAGAATTAAAGTTTTCTTGCTGTCACACCTTGAAGTCCTTGTTTATATGAAATTTCTAGTTTCAGTAAAATTCTGCCTGAGAAAGGCACTCAGAAATGATGTTCTTTCTCCCTGCCTTCAACTCGTTTTCACTTTGGAAACAGTGACATAGAAGCAAAGGGATTCTACTGAAATATAAAGGTAATAGCCCCTGGCTCCCAACTGCTGTCTCTCAGAGCACTTTCAGGGCTTTTGAAGCTCTTTCTCACTATAGTTTTGAAATAAACAATTTAGACTAACACCACCTCAGCTCTTTTTCCCACTGTCTTGTCTGTATGCATTAAACTTTTTCAGAAAATCCCATTAAAGTCATGTTCCCAACACGGCAGAGGGAAAAATGTCCCAGTAAAACTTAGAGCATAACACTCCTGGAAAAAAGGAATAATTAAGTGCAGTATTGAGTAGACTAACCAAACCTGCTGTACTCTGAAGACAAAAATAACTAGAACAGGCTTTTTTAGTCCATTGCTAGAAGTTTCTGAAGGGATGGAGAGGAGAACGTTGAGCCATGTGGGGAGAGTTGATGCTTTTCTTTTTATCTGACTACACTGCTTTGAAGATGATATTTGAAGGTGTCTGATCCTGGCTCTCTCTAGCCCTGAAACAGAGAGAGGGATGGATGCTGTGGCCATTGGCTTGAGTAGTTGTGATCCTTTCACCAACAGCCTGACCAAAATCACTTAATTTCAGGGCGTACACTAAAAAGAAGAGGAATATGAAAACCAATGAAAGCAGAGCTAAAGTGCAGTTAAGATCCAAGGACATACTTGAGTAGTTGTGATCCTTTCACCAACAGCCTGACCCAAACCACTCAATGGTGTTTTCAGAGCCTACATTAAAAAGAAGAGGAATATGAAAACCACTGAAAGCAGAACTAAAGTGCAGTCAGCATCCAAGGACATGTTAATTTTCCATCAGGATGCCTTTTGGAACAGGTGCTTTAGGCTGATGAGGTTTTATAAATCCTTTTGCTTATGGATAGAGGAACAAACTCCAGTTCTGATTCAGCTAGAAAGCAATCCTTGCCTATCCACTCTGAAGTAAGAAATACTTTTAAAAAAAAAAAAAGAAAAAAAGAAAGAGAGAGACAGACTACTAGAATAATCCAGAGCAATATTAAAAAAAAATTAAAAACCATGAAACCTTAAATCCTTTTGCTTATGGATAGAGGAACAAACTCCAGTTCTGATTCAGCTGGAAAGCAATCCTTGCCTGTCCACTCTGAAGTAAGAAATACTTTAAAAAAAAAAAAAGAGAGAGAGACAGACTACTAAAATAATCCAGAGCAATATTAAAAAAAATTAAAAACCATGAAACCGCTACCTCCTGTCCATAGGAACACAGACCTCTTCATGTCCTTAATGTGTCCATGGGGAATGAAAACAAGGGGAATCTAAGTTTTGATGTGTTCTTCAGGCAGTTTGAAAAGCAAAGCCTTTATTTACATGCCTAAAAGTGCACCTGGGCACCTGTCAACTTGCATTGTCTTAAAACTTGGGTTTGATATTTCCATAAAGAAGCACTGCTGTAAATGCCAAAGCCTTCGGTTGTGTTGATTTGGATTCTTCTCCCCCCCCATAACTGATATTATGTGAGACAGGCAGACTATTCTGGGTAGAAAGTTATTTTTAAACAGGCATTACTCTTTTCCAGAAACAGACTGTAAATTTCTGTCTTCTTTTAATTGCTTTACAAAGTAAATTGAGTCCCTCTGGTTATATAATTAATATTCACATTTAGCCCCATATATTTGACACGACTTGAGCCATTTATTGCTACATTCATTTTTCAAGACTGGCTCTAGGAGTTCAGATAGGCATTTAATTACTGCTGAACTCTGGGAAATATCCAAAGTTTTTCCAGGGAGGGGTCTTAACAGTACTGAGAAATACAAGACAATTGGAGCAGAGTGATCTCTCTAGCCAGGTCTTTCTCGTTGTAGATTCCTCTCCTCATATTGAGCAGTAAAGTGTCACCCTATCTATACTATTTAATGTATTTTACCACTTGAAATAAATATAAAAGGAGTGGAAATTAAAATATCTTAAAACAGTAGGTTAGGCATTGTGGTGTCTGATGAAGATTTTGTTTTTAATAAATACAACTTTTTAAATAGGCTTGCCACAGATTTTTGGTGGTTTTGTGGGTTTTTTAAATTATTAAAATTACATTATATTTTTATGTTTTTGTTTGTTTATTTGTTTTTACCAAAGAGATTTCTAGCTTTCCAGACAAATTCCCTCCCAGAATAGACTTTATTGTAAAGATGCTGTGAGCTCCCTGAAAGTTCAACAAACTTTAGTGGAGTGCCTTCTAAAAGTAACCTGCTGTGTAAGGCTGAGAAATCCGACAGCTTTCCTGCTTCCAACATCTCCCTCTCGTGGCGTTTTCCCCACACTTCATCCCTCTCACTTGAAACATCCCTGTTAATAAATCCAAGAGCACTGATCACAAAGTGCAGGTGAAACCCCTCCTGCCTCCCAACACCATAAAACTTTGCAATCGATTTTTCTGTGTTTAACAATGTGAAATCTCATTGGCTTAATTGGACAGGATTTATTGGTAAAACTGCAGGTGTTGGGAGGGTTTTTCCTCGACTGACTCTTCTGGGCTCAGTCGTTTCACTGAAATAAAGTTCAGCTCTCTCGTTTAAGGAACTGGAAGTTTCCTGTTAACACCCCCTCCATGCATATTAATACCCTCAGGAATGGCTCCAAAGCTTCTGAGGTGAAACCCCTCCTGCCTCCCAACACCATAAAACTTTGCAATCGATTTTTCTGTGTTTAACAATGTGAAATCTCATTGGCTTAATTGGACAGGATTTATTAGTAATTTCCTTACCAAATTCACTTGATTTAATGCAGGGCTTGCAGGTGTTGGGAGGGTTTTTCTCGACTGACTCTTCTGGGCTCAGCTGTTTCACTGAAATAAAGTTCAGGTCTCTCATCTAAAGCACTGGAAGTTTCCTGTTAGTACTCCCTCCATGCATATTAATATCCTCAGGAAGGGCTCCAAAGCTTCTATCCTGTTTCCTGACACACCAGTTGGGCTGAGCACAGGTTTCACCTCCACCTTGTCCTTCTACAGCATCCTGAGGGTGTTATCCTCAGAGCATGGCAGAGAGACACAACAGGGAGCAAAGCTGGGCTTGGGCAGGGTTATTTCTTCTCTTGTCTTTCTACAGCGTCCTGAGGGTGTTATCCTCAGAGCATGGCAGGGAGCAAAGCTGGACTTGGGCAGGAGTGTTTAATCTCTCATCTGCAAGCTGTGGTACAGACACTGCATCAACCTTTAAATAAGCAGCAAGGTAATTTTCTCAAAAGACCCCAAGGTCATCTGCAAGCTGTGGTACAGACACTGCATCAACCTTTAAATAAGCAAGGTAATTACCTGAAAACACCCCAAGACTGGGACTGCCCAGCCCAAAACAGAGATCTGCTTCTAGATTCCCCCTCATCCATATGCCTTTCTACCAAACAATTCACTTCTTCTAGGTGATGCCTCCTATAATATAGATGAGTTACCCTCTAAAAGGCATTAAAGTCTCCACCAACTCTAAAGGTAATTAGGGTTGGGGATCTCTGAAGTTAGGTGAGATGAATCATGTTCCAAATACGGCCTCTTGGGGCTCTTTGCTAGTTGTTTTGTCCTTCATCTTCAGCACTACAGAGCCCATCTGTCCTGCTTTACCAAATCAATTGAGTCCCTATGGTTAGACAATTAACATCTAACTTGAGATGACCACTGGGTCATTTAATGCTAAATTTATTTCATATGATTGATCAGAGTGCTGGATTATATTTGATCCCTGCTGAACTTCACAAAACACCCTGAAATCCACCTGTCACAAGTGAAATTAATGGATGAACTGGAACTGAGGATAAGTTAACTGAGTACTGCCACAGACTGCTTCCAAGCTAGCTCATTAAAAACTAACTAGCAGACCTTGATGCTTCACTGCTGTCTGCAGCAAAGCCATATTTTAAAAACTTGGCTATGTTAACTCCAAAACCCTAAGGTAGAGCAGAAAGTTGAATCAGGTCTCCT